GTGAGTAACATCACTCACATGATTCATCTCAGTATAGCAAGTGGAACAATTCAGATACTTATTCACATGTGTAACTGTTTACCAGACCCTTTACTGTTCATATGTGAGTGAAATATCTATTTTGCAACTGGAGGCCACTGAATACTTTATATTTAGGGTTCTTCTGATTCTGACAACAATGCATCATTAGCAGTGGTAGGTGTAGTTATTCCTCTCTCTCTCTCTCCCTCTTTCTCAATATAAGAAAGGCCTCCAAAATGTTGTTCTTCCTCGAGAATGGACACATTCCACAAAGGGTACTGGGACATCTCTCTCCTTCAGGGTTTATATGAGCCATCACTTTCACGTCTTGTCTATAACTGATAGCTCTTGGTCCTCATGACTTACCGCTTGATTCAGGACTTTGATGTCTTCTTTTTCCCCTTCAGGAGCTGATATGCTCTCCAATTTAAGTCTAATAATTTAGAGCCTTGCCTCTTCTGTTTGTTAATGCTGCTGTTTTATCTGTACGCCTTGGATAGCCTAGTTTGTTCAGTCTGTCTGTTAATTTGGCTGTCTACTTATTCTACGCTGTTCTCTTCTACAGACAAAACTTTGTTCAGGGCTGTGCACATTTGAAGTTCTAGCACAGCGCTGTCAGTACTCTTCCCAGGAAAAGAAACTTTAACTTTGTAGTAAGCAGATTGGCAACATCTAGGAAACTTCTGCATTATTTTTGTATAAATATTACATCTATCTTGCATACATCTGAATAATATGGATTTAGTTCAGTTTACGTAAATGACATCAGTCTTTCAACATTTGCAGTAATATTCAAAGGAAGCTGCAAAATAGAAAATGACAGGTAATGATGGATTTAAGATAATAATGGCTGGGCAATGAATAAGGCTCAGTCTAGACCAGAATAGCTTATTTGGTTTTCCAAAGGCTACAGCCTGTAAGAAAGGGGATCAGAATTTCTAGAGAAGTAGTTTAGGTGAATTAAGATCAAGCACACTGGATTTTTACACCTTTTCAGTCAACATACATCAAAAAAAGAGCATAGATACAGCTAGGGAAGACGACAGATGTGAACAGAGCACATTTCTTCTCCCTGTCAGGAGAGAGGAGTTGGGAAGAGAGTTTGGAAACCTTTACAAAGGTATTACTAAGGCCTATAGCTCTGGACAGAATCACAGAATTACAGAATGTTCGGGGTTGGAAGGGACCTCTGTGGGTCATCTAGTCCAACCCCTCTGCCGAAGCAGGGTCACCTACAGCAGGCTGCAGAGGACCTTGTCCAGGCAGGTCTTCAATATCTCCAGAGAAGATTCCACAACCTCCCTGGGCAGCCTGTTGCAGTGCTCCGTCACCCTCAGAGGGAAGAAGTTCTTCCTCGTGTTCAGACAGAACTTCCTATGCTTCAGTTTGTGCCCATTGCCCCTTGTCCTTTCGCTTTTCAGACACTGAAAAGAGTCTGGCCCCATCCTCCTGACACCCACCCTTGAGATATTTACAAGCATTTATAAGGTCCCCATTTGTGATTTTATCCTTATGGGCTTGGAAACCTGAAACAAATACATTGTGCTCTGTTTTGCATTTTTAAGACACTGTTTCAGCACTGCTGCAAATTTACATTGTCCCAGAGGAAACTGTGACAGGTACCATAACTGGAGGTGTCCTGATGTAACTAATGCTGCTGCTAAACAGAAGCCTGGAAAGGAAATTAGAGACCCTAAGAGGAGAACTGCTTTTGCCAGGTTACAGTATAAGCCGCATCTTGCTTGGGGACAGAACCAGAGCCTTCTGGCAGCTGTCTCAGGCATCAAACTATTCTGTTCAGCAAACTGGAGAACTGTTGGTGTTCCCCATTTCCCTCAGACTTTCACTTTGATTCTCTAGGATAGTATTGTATGGCAATATAACTGATAAACTTTCTCAGCTTCTAATATATAGTGCAATAGTTTGTCCCTCACACTAAATCAGTTATGCAACTGAGGAAGAGCAAACATGCTCGCCAACTCCTCAGCAGGCAGAAAAATCCATGTTTTGATTCAGTTCTGGTTTCAGTGATCTTTGCTCCCACCTGGTGTCTCTAATTGACAGCTTCTTTGCAGAAGATGGAGACAGCAAAAGGATTCTAGGCTTTAGCTTTAAATTGTATTTTTAAAACCTCACGAAGTTGCAGAGGAGTGATTTACTCTGAAGGGAACTCTGATAAACCCTCTCAGCAGAAATGAAGGAAAGCATTGTAATAGAAATAGCACCAGTTATAACGGTGATGCAAATGGGAGGATCGCTCACAGGGGGCTGGCTTGCAGCTGCTGCTGGGGCAGAGCACAGCATGTTTGCTCCATCCTCTGCACTGCACAACCTGTATTTAAAACATAGGCAAGCAAGAAATCGTGATTTCGGCTGGAAGCATGAGAGCTGTATGCCATCAGTAGGTGCAATGTAACCTTGCAGCTTGGATTTCAACACAGGTCTCAGTGTTGTCAGGACAAGGCTTAGGTCTCTGTTACTTTCTCCCTTTGGTCCCTCAGAAATCCCTCGCAGGACAGCTTTGCTGTCAGAGCTGTAAAGCTCTGGAGCTAAGCAGTGGGAGCAGGTCCACGTCCAGCTAGATGAATCCTACATGTAGGCCAGCACTGTCTTCTTTTTCTGGTGTACAGCTGGCTCAAGGTATCCACAAAGTGCTACGCTGATCTTCATTCCCTTCAGGACTCTGAAGACTTTGTTTCTTCGCAAGATGCTATCTTGCTATCAGTTTGTATTTGGTTCTTGTTTAAGTTCTGCCTCCAGTGAGATTTTGTCTGAATAAAGAGGAAGTCACACTTGCAAAATTATCTGATAAGAGGGCTCTGTGTGTGTGTGTAAAAACAGGGAGATCCCAGGCCACTTATGAGCAGAGAGCAAGGGGCAGGCATCCTGGGTCACTCATGGGGAGAAATCCTGGGGTGCTTCTGGAGAATTGGAGGAACAATGTAAAAGGTACGGAAAGAGGGTCTTTTCCTGCCAAAGATCCTAGGTGGTATGAATATCTGGTTTTTATATCCACGCACTGCATCCTCTATGGGTTCAGCCAGAAGCTGGAGGCTGAGCCTTAAACCAGTGGCAGCTAAGCACGTGTCTGTTCTCCAGTGTTTAATCCAAGGCTAAAAACACCTTTTTTTTCTCTCCCTTCAATACAGTATTGCAGAGAAAAAGGATTGAGAATTTGGCTGTTCGTATGAGGAATGTTTGGGTAAAAATTAACTCAAAAGCCTCTGTTTCAAGCTGGAATATATATTCCTTTAAAACCACAAATTCCCAATCTCAAAGCAATGATTTTAAAGGAGGCTCCTCCTTTTCTAATAAACAGATTTGGTTTAGTTTGCTCTCTTTTGTTGGACTCTTTTTGATTAGATGGTTAAAGAACAGAGGCCCATCTCACCTACATAAACGTTAAAGACAACATTTACTCCCCATAAAATAAGGATAGCTGAAGCCTCCTGTTCACAAAGTTTTCCCTCCTTGCCCTGCCTTGCTCGCATTGACAGCAAATCTGCCGCACTCAATGTATGTTTTTTATGAAGAATTTTGGAATATTTAAAAATGAAATTCTTAATAAAAATGTAAATTATTATTATTGTAAAGATGTGTTGGCCCACTGTTCCATGTAACATTCTCAGGGGCAGCATTCTTTCAGACTGGGATTTGAAAAACAGTACAGAATTTAGCTTGAATCAAATGGCATTATGTATTTAGCCATTTATCAAAGCCACTTGGTAGAAGTTGGGGAAAACATTAGTTAATCTTTTTCATGTGGGGGTTTCTGGTTTCCCATTTCTTAGTTCCCCTTCCCTCTGAAAGGCCCGTAATGATTCGGCCTCCTGTTGAGCTTGAAGCAAGACCTTTTTTGCTGGTAGAATGTGTGAACCAGCCAACAGAGACTGCTTAAAGTTAGTGTAGGATATTCCAGGCACTGTTAGGAACATCCAGGAAAAGTGAATAGCATCCACAGCATGAAACATCTGCCTCACTGGGTCTGAATTTAGCTCCCCTCTGAGACAGTGAATTAACAATACTTTGGCCTGTTAATTCAGCTGTTCAGTGATTTTCATTGGACTTTGGAAGAGTGTTTTTCCCCTTAAAAGCAACAACAACATTGTTTCAGCTGAGATAGTTTGGGTCAAAGTTTCAGGTATATATAGTACACGTGAAAGGTGACAATTTGCCACCTTGCAAAAGAGAAATTCTCTGTTAATGAACTATCTAATGGCAGTGCAAGCTGTTCATTATTAGGACAGCCTGAGATACACAACAGTTGCCTAGCGCAGATCCCACAGGGGTCCATAGGACTTCTTTTTACTTTGACAATAAGACAACTTAGAGCAATGGCACACCCTTACAAAGTCTTTGTCTTTGTTTTGTAGTGATGTGCCCTTCCGGTGACACACACACTTTGCTCCATTTTCCTTCAGCAGACTCTGTATGAGACAGAGTTTCTCTGTCTATTCAAAGAACCCACTCCAAGTAGCTATCTTTTACAACATTTTTTTCTGTGGCAACTTTGCATTAGCCTGTCTTCGCCAGTACTAATGTAGATGGAAATTCCTCACACCTGCAGACCCCAGAAAATGGATTCATAATATTTTTGACTTCATTAGACACATGACACAACATGCAGGGATTTATCATAGTGATGACTCATCTTATTAAAGAGGTTGACTCGTGAGCCAGCTCCCTTCCCATTTGTGATCACATGGCATCTCACTGGCAACTGTAGCAACTGCGATATTAGGCAAGTATTTAGAGGTTTTAAAGGTGTTTTAGTGACACTTGCCATCTGGAACAAGTTCAAGAGACAACATCATACAGCCCATTGGCCCATTATAATAATTGAACACTGATTTATAGACCACAACTGGTCCATGTGCCACAAAACAGACAATCATTATTAGAAATAATTTATCCTGAAACAGAAGACTCCAAAGGATAAAAAAGCAATAGCATCTCCCAGGGTACTAGAAACATCCTAAATGGAGTTGGTAGATATGGTACAAAGAGGCACACTGCACTATTCTGTAGAGGCAGCCAGAAGCCAACAAGGTATTTCTGGCCTCTAAAATGACTCTAACAGCCAACCAGTAGCAATTGCACTGCATATACAGTTTTCCTGCTGCTTATCCCCATATGACACAAAGCTGGTTTTCCCCTGGAAAGTAGACCTTTTTCCACAGCTGCGTTCCTCAGTAGAAAGAAAAGACATTCTGGTACATGGGGATGTCAGTACTTTGAGATTATTAGTTAGGAGCATTAGGAGATAGTTTTAAAGTGAAGATGGCCTGCAAAGAGGAAACATTGGGTACCTGTTGTTTCATGTGTTCATGTGCTTTGAGGGATGAAGTGAGATATAAAATCTGTGAAACATAAAGTGAAACATGTTCTGCTTTCTCTGTCTCTTTTCCCCAGAGGATCCACCAATGACAGAGACCTGATGTAAGGAGCATAAAAACATCTATACAGGGTCAGAGCCAACAACCAGCAAGTCTGATACCGTGTCTCCAGAAGCAAACCATACTCTTCCAGAAGGACCACAAATTTGTATTTCAGTTCCTGGTGTTTTGTTGTGGGATTAAACCTGGACCACGGGCTCATTGTGGGCAGGTGAAGGTGCACTTCATTGTGGCAAACATGCAGTGGCACCTGCAAAGAACGATGGACAAGTGTTTTTGGAATTGCAAGGGGAAGCCAGTGACTTCACTGGGCAACTAGAGCAGAAGTGCATCACCGTGCATATGGATTGGTATCTGGATGCCTGGAGCATGCTTTCAGAGGCCCACCGCTCCAGGAAAACACCAACATGAGGTCAAATCTTAGCATCTTCTAGTAATGCTGCTTCTTTGCCTGAGTGGCTGACTCTGAGACTAACAGGAAAGGACTTGCTTTGATGGAAAGGGTGACCCCTTTGAATAGTTGGGAGTGAAATTTGACTCAGAAAATTTACACGGCATTTCCAGCCTCTGGTGTGGCAGAGCAATAGATCCTCACACAACCCTTAAAAAGTGAAAACCAGGCAGTATCGGATGCTGAGGGAAGAATGCCAGAACAGGACAAGCATCACAACAGAAGACCAAATATTCTGCTAAACTGCAGCACTCTATGGCTCAAGCATTTCCTAGGCCTTCAATGGATTTTTCCCTCGGTGAATTTAAGAATCTAGGTTTAGGGAATGGAAGAAGTCACTAGAACTGAAAGCTTTCAGAAGCAGAGATTTTTCTCTGTTTTTGTAAAAAAGCTTGAGTTAAATGGGAATTAACTCGAGAAAGAGAAAAAGCACAAATAATTTGGAACAGTCACATAGAGTTATATGGCATTTTTCATCTAAAGATTTCAAAGCTCTGTTCAAAGGAAGAAGTCATTATTATTCCCGTTGTGCAGATAGGCAAAACGAAGCCCATAAATATACAGATACTGACCAGAAGTCATATAGCTATCAAATAATAGAACTGCATATTTATTTCAGAACTCAGCAAGTAGAATTTTTTACACAATCAATAAAGCCACTAAAAAAGGATCCTGATACTTCAAAGCTTATGTTGATAGTGGAGAAGCCAGGAACGCTTCCCAGATCTGTCTGGGTCTGCTTCAATACAAGAGCTGAACAGACACCGTCACTGCTTCATGCTTTGCTGGTTTTCATGCAAAGCAAACACAGACATGCAGCATAGGAAGCAGCCACTGTGTTCACTAGCAGATCCCAGTCTGGACTGCTGGAGACTGGAGCTGAGGAGATTTTACTGGTTTGCAGTACAGGCACAGCTACAGGGACTGCAACCAGCTGCAAATTCTCACCAGTAAATATTGGTGGCCAGAAAAAAGGAAGGGAGGGGAAACATTAAAATTGATCACAAAGATTTCATTGTGATACTTTTAAAGGAAATATTTCCTTTGAAAAGTGATAAAATAGTTCAGAATAAAATTTTTAGCCTTTTCAATTTAAAATACTACTTTCCATTTCCTTTCTTCCAAGAAAAATGACCCAAAATTGAAAAAAAAGACATCTTGAAGTAAAGCACAAAATTTTTCATTTTGCTTGGGTTTTGTTTTAACTACAAAACTTTTTAAAAATCTGCTCAAGATTTTTCCCAATGCTTGAGTTTGATCACTGAATCAAAAAAAACACCTTATTGTTTGTCTAGTTATGTTAATAAGTCCCAGCCCAATGAGCTAACCTTTAAATCACTAATCTTCATTAGTCTCTCAGAATGCTGCAAAACCTTTAATTCTTTTGCCTCTGATAGATTCTTTTAGCAGAGCTTGAAAGCAAGACTTTTTATCTCCAATATGATCAAAATTTTAATTATTTTCTCAAGTACTTGTCTGTGTCATATACGTAACGAAAAATATCATCAGGAAATAGATTTGACAGACACTAATGTCGCACGTTCACCAGTTCACCAAACTGCGCCAGCCGTGTTACCACAACAGGCATGAACGGTTCTGGCCCTACAGTAAACCGAGGACACCTGATGTGGTCTAATTAGGACAGCAGTACACAGAGAAGTAATACAGTCTTAAATGAGGGTTAGGGTCTCGTTCAGTGAGTCAGTTAAGAACTTTGCTTTGTGGACAGACTTTCGCATACTTTTCTACACATTTATGTATTCCAGTGTTTTAGAAGAACTAAGTCCTAAATAGATCCAGTTGTCTAAAATATGTCATGGATAAAAATCCTGTTGTTGTTTTGTGGTTTTGCACTTTTTCTAGCTGCTTGAAGGTGGCATTTCTAAGTACTGCATATAAAGCTCATGTTTCACTTACTTATGACAAAAAATTTCTTGAGACTTGGCAATACTCTTTGCTTTTTGTTGTGCAAGGTGAAGCAAAAAAGTAAAAGTTTTTGTTTTGTCTCCACCTCACCCTTGAAGTGTTCTTCTGGAGGTAAACTATAAAAAATTCCATCAATGAGGACCACAGTGCACAGCGGTTGGTATTGGTGATGAAGATTACATCTTCAGAAAACAGAAGATATAAGATACTACAGGAACTTTAAGAGCAGGGAAGCAGAAATGAGCTTTCAGAAGAGAAGGTGTTCGTACTGTTTTATAGACAGGACTTGAGAAAGTTTTCTCAACTTATGATTATTTTAGCCTAAAGTGCAGATGACTGGCATCCAAGACATTTCTGCAGTACTGAAGCTTTTTCAAAATTTCATCCACACACATCCTCACCATGATAAAACAGACACTCTGTGGAAGTATGAAGAAAGAGACAAAACTAAACCTTTAGCTGCATTTGGGGTATTATTTTTTGTTGTTTTTGCTACAAAGCTGTAATTGGCCTAGCGAGATCTGATAAATGTCTTACTATAAACTTGAACATCAACCGATCGTGAAAAAAATATGATGGAACTCGTGACTGAGAGAAAAGTAAAAGGGTATAAATGACTGGCAGTTCCCATTTCTTTACAAGTGTTACATTTCAGTCCCCTGCCACTACCACATGTTTCCTGTTCACAGATAATTTGTACAACATATTTTATCATTCAGTTTTAGACACAGTTGAAAGGCTTTTGCCTAAGGCTTGGAACACTTTGAAAATTGTATACCATTTGCAAGGCTTTCTTCTGCTTCACTGTGCAATTAGGTGACTGCCTTTCTGCAGACACTGGATTTATCATATGTGGAACTGAGTTTTTTCCACCAAGGTAAACTGGGAACAAAAATGCAAATAGTTTTTCAGTAACCCACAGACAAGGGATTAGTGTGCCAGCACAAAGCTTGTAGGCTGCCTGTCAGTCCCAAACTGGACGCGGTTCCCTCACAGAAGGAGTATTGTGAGCCACAAAATTTCATACAAAAATGCTCTGTGTCCCTGCTATACATGATTCAAACTTCTAAGGTGCAACAAAGACATCTGATCAGAATAAGGTTTTTTTCTTTAATTTTCTAATACGGCTATTTATGACCCTGTTGATTTTTTCCTCCCTTCCTTCGCCCCCCTCCCCATGCCACCGCCTGCTCCGTCTTGACCAAACTTTGCTCTCTCCTGAAGAAGTGTGGAGATACTGATGTGCTAAGAGCTTCCCCTGCTGGAAGTTCCTAGCAAAAGGTGCTGTAGCCAAGTAAGGATGGATCTGGGACTAGCTCCCAGTTCAGCTAATTTATGTGCTCAGTTCCTGTCGAACAGAGAGTACATAATGTGACTTGAGATGCTGATTAAATTTCATGTGTATTTCTATGTTCTAAATAAACCAAATTTTAAAGTCAGATTTGAGGATGGTAGTTTATAACCCTCATTACAGCAGTTTGTGTTTTTCCACTGAATTATGTGAGGAAAAGGGAGACAAATTCAGCCCTTTTATATAATGCATCTACATACTTCTACAAGGTCATCTTCCTTTCTGGCAGAGGGTATGGAGGATTTCTTAACAAGTATATTTTATCTATTAGAAACATATCATTGTTTAATGAGAATGGAACTTTCAATTCAGTATTTGCTTTTGGTTGCAGACATCCTACTTGTGGCAACAGCGAGTGTGCAAGCACATAAGTGAGCTGCAAGGAACACTGGTACCTTATAGAGTAATCCCATCAGAAGGAAGGCGTGTTTCTTCAGACTATACGTCTCTCTCAAGCAATAATTGCCAAACTGTAACAATTTCCTCTTCTGAAAACTTTGAAAAAGCTGTACTTTTAAAATCAAAATTAATAGAATTTTAATCTAATTGTTTACCTATTCATATCAGAAATATCTGACTGCAAATTCCTCAGCTTCTTGAAGGGTAGG